GCCCGCCCGCGAGAAGCGAAACCAAAAGATCTCCGCGCGCGCGTCGGGAAGACGCCGTTGGCCAGGTTGGCTTTGTGCAGAGCTGCATGCGGTCCCCCCGCCGTCCCCCGCCACGCGCCACCCTCCCAGCCCATCCCCGTCCTGCCTTTGCCCCAAACCGCCTTCCCATCCGTCCGTCCATCCTCCTTCCAACCCCCCAGTCCCCTCTGGATGTAGGTGCAAAAGCCATATATTGTCCGCAGCCTTTTCTAGAGTTAGGTGTTTTAACCACTGGCTTTTAACTCTCGATCTTGCTAGAAATACGTGCGCAGGTGGAAATCTAGCGACGCCGCTCAATCTGTATTCAAAGAGAGAAGGAAAAACTCCACGGGGTGAAAAGAAAAAGAAAAACAAAAAAGGAAAAAAAAAAAAAGGAGAATTTAAATAAAATATATTTTTCTAATGTGCGTGCGGAGCGGACGTGGGCAGCGCTGCTAGGGCTGGGGGGGGGTCCCGCTCCCCGTTTCTTTGCATGGAGGTGGGCGAAGGTGTTTATAGGGAGCAGCTGCCCTGTTTTTAACTCTTCCCTTGACAAATGGCTGGAGGTTTTCCAGGAGAGTGGGTGAGCCCCGTCCCGGCAGCTGGAATGGAGCTGACCCACACTCCTCCGCTCGCGGCGGCCCCCGGGGCTGCCTACCTCGGTCAGAACAAATCCTCAGGTCAATCCAGCTATTAAAGGAGAGTTTTTCTTGCTATTCTGCCTTCCCGTGTGTTTGTGGGGCCGCCCGAGCGCCCCAGCTCCCCCCACCCCATCCCAGACCGGGGGCTGGATGTCCCCCAGGGATGCAACCGGCCGATGGCTCCTCCACCCCCAGCTTCAATCACATTAATGCTGTTCCCGCATCTTAACCCACTGACAACACAACCAAAGCGGCTCCTTCTTGGGACTTTTATTGCCTTTATAGTGTCCTTAAAGACAGGTTTATTCCGGTCCGTGGTGGGAGCGGGGGAGATTTACTGTGGGCTTTATTCCCGTTGCCTCCCATCCTTCCTCGGCTCCAGAGCAAGAGCAGATTCGGTGCAATTTATTCCTTTTCTCTTGGCCGATCGCTGCCTTATCTGGAGTTGGTGAAATCCCCCCCCCCTTTTTTTTTTTTTTTTTTTTTTTTTTTTTCGCCGGGGGGGGGGGGGGCGCGGGATTAGTTCTGACAGGCATCATCTGAGGAAGGGGCAGCATTCCCTTCCGCCCCCCTCGGAAGTAATTAAACCCCCAAAAGCCAATTAATCTCCGAGATAAAACAATTAAGAGACGGCATTGCGTGCAGCCAACATGCTCAGCATCTTGGGCTGGGGTTTATTAAGTGGAAGGGGAGGTGTGGGGAGCAGGGACGGGGGCTGCCCCCAGCAGAGGGACCCCCCCAGCAGAGGGACCCCCCCGCATCCGCACGGCCCGGGGGGACATCACTGCCTCCCCCAAACCCCTTCACAGCAAAAGGACAGAGGGAACTCCCCGAGCACCAGCAGTATCAGCTTCCCTCGTTTTTCCTTTTCCCCTCTGGCTTTAAGGACCACTGAAGTTTAATACCTTTATTTCACCGCAATTGTTGGTTTCTCGATGGTTTGTTTGGGTTTTTTTTTTGGCAATTGTTGGTTTCTTGATGGTTTGTTTGGTTTGGTTTTTTTGGGGGCAATGAAGTGGAGCAATTGGCAGTCACTACCTCCCTGTAAGTGTGTGCGACACGTGTGGCTGCACACACACACACCCCCCCCACACACCCCACCGGCTTTCGAGGGTCCGTGGCATCGCCTCCATCCCGGCTAACGCAGGGGCAGTGATCACTGCCCTGCCGGCGGCTGCTATGGTTTATTTTATTTTTATTTACTAAATTCCCGGCTATTTTTTTTTTTTTTTAACAACACAGGACTGGCATGTACTAATTAAACGTATATTCCCTCTGGAAAGAGAAACCAACCGTCCTTTCTGCATCATTTTCATGTGCAAAGCTCTGGACGTGGAAGAGCCGTCCTGCCCGGCTGCCTCCCTGATGCCATTAGCCCTGCTCGGCGGAGGGCACCGAGACGCGCAGGCAGCAGAGGAAACCCTCAGCCATTCCACGACTGATTTTTAAAACCACTGAGTCTTTCTGCTTGGCTCAGCCTCGGCGAGCCCCGAGCATCCCCGGGCGGGAGCCGCCGGCTCGCGTGGGCCTGGGGACTGCGGGGAGGGTGAACTTGACCACCCACCCCCGGCTTCCCGCATTAAAAAATCATCTTTTTTATTCCCCCCCCCTGCAATCTCTCAGCCCTGGGAGTGTTTTCCGCCCCCCCCTCCATCCTGCCCTGGCGGAGGCCGCAGCATCCTCAGCATCCTCCCTCCCGCGCTGGATGGGTTACTCAGCCGTTGCCGTAGCAACGGCGTCTGCACCAAAACTCCCTGCATTTCCCCCAATTCCGTGTGGGTTCTGCGCTCAGCGGGGCCCTGCGATGGAGGAGATAATGCTGGAGGAGATGATGCCAGAGAACAGCTCAGGCCCATCTCCCTTCCCAGACCAAAGCTGCAGATGCCCCTTCGGGGTGAATTCAGGGGGTTCTGGGCAACAATCCCGGCGATGCAAACGATGCTCAGAGCAGGTCGGAGGCTCCTCTTTCTCCCAAATTAAATCGCACACGAAGTTCTTGCTGCTGTTTAAATGAGAGGGAAATAACCCACCTCAGCAGCATAATACAGAAGCTGCGACAGCACTTTCACAAAAGCTCTATAATGTAGGGGAGATGCGAGTTATAAATCTGAGCAGCAGTAATATTCATCCCCAACAAAAGCAGCATGTTTATTTATTGGTTTTACTATTTTCTGTAAAATTTACAGTTGACAATATGCCTGAATGCAGCAGAAATAATTTAAGCGTGGCTCCAACCTGCCTGGAATCAAGGAAAGGGAAGGGGTAACATGTTTAATCTTTTTTTTTCTTTTTTTTCCCCCTTAATTCCAATTCTAAATAAAGGGCGTGATTTATCGGAGAAGGAAAGCACAGCTTTATTTCAGGGCCGTGACAGCTAATTGAAAAAGAACAGTCATTAAGGACGGTAATGTGTTCCACAGAAATGATTTTGGAATATTCTGGCGTCATTTCCCAACCGCGCGTGTGAAATGAGAGCCAGCCCCAAAGCTACGGGGCCCCGGGAGCGGCGGGTAATTCCGGGGAGGTGGCAGCGGGGAGGGGGCATGGAGAGGCATGAAGCGGATTCGGCACGCCGAGAGGATGCGCTGGGCGAGGACCAGCCCTGCCACGGGCTCCCGGTGCGCTGCAGCACCATCACCAGTGTCCGGAGGTGCTGAGCCCCACAGCCCCTGGGGCACATGGGACCCGGATGGGGTTGGGAGAGGTGGGATGGCTGCGGCTGGGGAATGGGGTCCTGGGGTTTGGATTGGGGTCCTGGGCTGGGGGTCGGGGTCCCAGGGCTTGAGGGGTCCTGGGCTGGGGGTCGGGGTCCTAGTGATGAGGATGTGGGTCCTGGGCTGGGAGTGAGGGTCCCAAGGCTGGGCACAGGGGTCTTGGTTTTGGGGGGGGGTCAGTGTCCCAGCTCCCAAACCCGCTGCTCTTCCCTCCCGGCCATCCCTGCCCTGCCCTAAAATCACGATCCCCGTGACGGCCTTAATTGCAGTCTCATGGGGGTGGCTCCAGATCCCGTTCACCCCCTCCCCTTTTAGCTGCTAAACCCAGGGGCACCCCCAGTTAGGATTTTCCCGACTCCTGCCCCAAAAAAGGGGCCGCAGACCCCCGCTGGGCTCTCCCCCAGCCCCGGCCCCGCACACTAATCACATTTTTTGCACGTCGCCC